CTTGCTTCTTTAAAATGCATCAATACATATTTTAAGTACTGMAAATGCAATACAAAGTAAAGCAGGCCCGTGGCATCTGGAAACTGGCAAATACAAAAGGCCTTGGTGTTGGTATGACTATTCTGGCCCTTGTGGCTGGGCCATGGTATTCTCCTGTTGGACACAACTTCTGAGGATACCAGCACCAGCCAAGGGGCCATCCCATGACCCTGGTGAAGTGGGGTAAGAAACAAGGTCACTCTATAAGCCTGGGTAAGCACAGACAAAAACAAGAGCATTGCACAAATCACAAAAATACCAGACCCTATCCTGGATAAAATAAGTGACCACGGCTTCCATTTAAAATTTGAGCCTTGCTTCATTTCTCCTACCTCGTCAATAGCATTCATAAAGATATCCCAAAAATTATATCTACTTATTGGTAACATCCAATCCAGAAGATTCCTTGACTCCTCCTCCAATTCACCTGACATGGGCCTGAATCCTACAGTATAGGTCATTTTGAACACCCTCTTGCTGAGTTGCACCATGGAACCCTGGAGTAAAAGTCTCCTTTTTTGCTGAATTAAGCACTGAACTTCATTTGCTTACCCACAGRTGTGTTCTTGGTGGTGTTTAGCTGCAGGGCATTAATAGAAGTGGACATTCCCCCGGATTCAGCTGAAGTGCTCACTGCCTATGACTCGGACCCCTGGATTCAGCAACTCTCAATCAGTAATATAACTGGCCAAGCACCCTGTGTCTGGTGGGAGGTGAGAGCCTATGGAATTAAGCCCTGATATTTCCTTGAAGCCCTTCCGCATTGGGCTTGTTTTGCTTTACTTAGAATAAGGTCCCTTGGTATTTTTGTGGTATATAATCAGGCTTATGTTGTTCCTTGGTGAAGTGACATAAAATGCCCTCTGCCATCAAAGAGTTTAAAGTCTAATTGGATGTCCATCTACACTATACATTTTGACATTTCCACTGTGAGTAGTGAATTAAAACAGAAATGAATCTGGCTGAAATTTTCCTTATTAACTTTGGCGTTTTAGAAATATCCAGCACTCACAGAGCACTTACAGAATCAGACAGTATGCTGAGACCCCCACCTTGGTCATCTTCTTTAGTCCCCACGAGGCAGGAACTATGTTTATTCCATTTTACAGATGGCACAAATGAGGCCTGAGACTTTTTGTTAATTCTCTAACAATACATATCCAAAGGTCAAAGAACTAAACATGGCAGAACTCGAATTTGAAAGCAGACAAAAATGTTTAAACCCAACACTTCCTAGTATGTACTCTATATTCATTTTTATAATAACACTTCTCTGGAAAGCATTTTTTTATGACCTAGGTTTGGTCATACCATGGGTCAAATCATGTCTCTCCACTTAGGAAGTACTTGTAGTTTGATTTTTTAAAATGAAAGCAAAAGCAATAAAGTAAGTATTAAGCATAACTCTTTGCAAAACAATAGCATTAGTATTTTCTGAATGCCTTTGAGCTTCAGATTACAGCCTCAAACTCCCAGTACTGCAGAAAGCTCTGAGGGGCCCCATTTTCTGAAGTAGATAAGAGACCTGGCTGTTATCATTGCCACTACCAGCCCCTATCAAGGCCAGACACGCAGGGGATTTTGCTCTTTCTGTTTCAGACTCCTCCTCCCAGAAAACACAGGTGAAATGCCACCTCACTCTGTAGCTATAAATCCCATCCCAAAATTCTTCAGCATCCTCAAGCCTAAAACAATTGGTGTGAGAGTCTAAATATTTTTGACTATAAATTGGAGTTTAGTTAGAAGGCCCAGGCCCACTTGTTACCCTGTGACAAAAATGAGAGAAGGAAGGTTCACTTCCTTCCTGCCTTACACCAGAGGGCAGAGAGATGGCTCTGCTTCCACACACAGGAGGGGTTAGCTTCAGAGTGTGTTCAGGAATCAGGATTTGGGTAGAGGAGGGCCAGAGTCTATAGTCCACAGGAAACTACCTTTGGGACAAAGCAACACACCAACAGAGAAGAAGAAAAAATAGGCAAAAAAGAAGAACCAGAAAGGAAATAACTTGGCAAATGTAATTGAAAAAGTGAAATGTCTTTTTGGCAGATGAGCAAGACTCCCAATGGGTATCTGGAGTCCCTCCTCCCCCTGCCAGGAACCAGTCTGACACCTTATCTCTGTGTTCCTCTTATCTGCAGAAGAAAGGTGAAGCCTGAGGGGTTGGGATGAAAGAGAGCCTTGGGAGCAGGTGGAAGGGTTTGTCTTTTTTCCTAGAGTAAAGGAAAAACAGGAGGAAGTTGAGAGGTGGCCCAAGGTCTGGAGGCTTCTGCAACAGCACAGGCTAAGGTGATAGGAACGAACCTGAGAAAGGGAGAGGGAAAGGAAGAGGGTGCTGACATARAGACAATATCCAGGTGAACATTAATCACTGGGCACAGTAAGAGGGGAAAGGCGGCCTTAAACCAAGTGGCCAGACTTGAGCTGCTTAGGAGAGATGATCTGAGGGAAGGGGTGTGGGCGGGACGCTCCCATTGAAACCAACAGAGACATGTCAAGGAGAGCCAGCTTTGTCATTAAGGTGAACTCAGTGAATYTGGAGTGTCTGCAGACCCTCTGAGAAAACGTACAATTCGTCCTCAGCCACAGCTAGCTGAGCCCAGGATGTCACGCAGGACTGGAGACCCAGGGCCAGGTGCTGGGTGCATGTTGTGTAAAACACTGTACAGGAGTGACTGAGTGCGGGGGCGGGGAAGGTGTATGGGGAAAATTGTTTTCCAAAAATATTCCATTCCTGGCATTTCCCCAATTTGTTCTTGGCCAGCTGCCTGAAGAGTGAAGTCCAGGCTCTCCATTTGGAATATTCTTTCTATCTTTCTTCTCACTCATTGAATTGCTTCAAGTTTCATTTAAAAAGCCAACTTTTCTGAGAAGGTATCCTGGACTCTTCATTCATTCTGGCTCACTTTCACCCATGTTGCTTATGCCCCTCTTTAGTTCTATGTAGCATTGAATGGTACTTAATTAATTCACAGAGGGGGATGAGAAGAGACAGGTTGAAAACAGGAAGTACAAGAATGCCAGATCAAATGTATAAGAGAATAAAATCCATTGACATTTAAATATGCACTCAATGCGCATTATCTCCTGATTCCAATGAGCCTGCAGGGTAGGTAGCACATGTTTTCTTCATTAGTCTCATTTATAAATAAGAAAACTGAAGCTCAGTTTGAAACTGTCAAAAGTCTATAACTGTAAATAGGAGTTGGACTTATTTGTTCATTCTTGTGTTTATTTGCAGTCTTGAGTCTGAGTATTAATTGAGCTACTAGGTACCGTCACAGGTACTGTGATAGTAGCTGACAGTGATGGATTATACCAAGCTTTATTCTAGTGGGAGAGAGGGAAATAAGGGTTTAATATCATGTTATGAAGCAAGAGTGTTATGAAGAATATTCTGTAGAGTAGGATGCAGAGAGAATGGGGTAGGCAGAGATTCGGTTCTCTGTGTCTTGGGTCCATCCTGGGCACCATGCTGCAAACTCACTGAAGGAAGCAGGTGGTCCTGAAGAGTTGTGCAGCTGTCTCCTGGGGATGCTGCCTCAGTCTTGGACCCTGACATTTGAGCACCAGAATGCATCCAGCATTAGGTGCCCGTCCCAATCCCAGGCCCTGCAAAGCTCCCCATAAACTCCCACAAAACTGGATTGCCTTACCTAGATTCATATGTAGCCTATAAATTCCATAGAGGCCAGAGTCACTGGCACAAGTTTATAATATGTATATGCAGATCAATCAATTGATTGACAAAATAAAATCAATTAAAATAGTGGGAGACTGTTCTCTTAATTCAATACTTATGAAGGTTACATAAGATACATACAATTCTATGGAGAGATTTCCAAGACTATGTATGTATGGGGCCCTCTCCAAAATAATAGTGGGCCTCTCCACCATTCTGTAAAGCCAAGAAACTCCCTTTCTATGCAAACCCTATTGGGTAGCCCAGGACCAAATATATTCTACTAGGAAACCAGATCAGTGTAGCTTACAATAAGTAAGACAGCTGCATCGATTTGTGACATTTTTTCAAGATGAACTGCTATAGTTTGGACCTTAAATGTTCCCCAATGGCCCATGTATTAAAGCCTTAGACCCCTGCTTGATGCTATCAGGAGGTGAAGAAAACATGAAGCAGGGCCAACTGGGAGGTGTTCTAGTTATTGGGGGTATGCCCTTGAGGTTGATAGTGGAACCACAGACCCTTCTTTTTTCTCTTTTTTCCTTTTGGACATGAAATAAGAAGTTATTTGTTCTGTCATGTGCTCCCCACCATGATGTTCTCTCTCTCCACAGGCCCAAAAGGAACAGAACCAATTGGTCATGGATTAAATCTTTCAAAATCATGATCCAAAATAAATCTTTTCTCTTTAAAATGTGATTATCTCAAGTGTTTGTTATAGTAACAGAAAGCTGACTAACACATGGGCCTTGTTATATTGTAGATGGTATAGGGTAGTAGAAAGAGGTGTGAACAAGAGGCTAGCAAAACAGAAAACAAGAATTGCCCAAATTTTCAAAACCAAACTAAGGAATTTCTGAGTCATGTTTGCCAAGGTAAGGGACAAAGACAAAATGAGGTCAACTCTTTCAGGTTATCTGTTCAATTTCCACAAACACCTGGGTTGTACTTTTATTTCTTAAAAATTTTATTTACAGCACCATTGAACATCTTTCACCTTCAAAAGGTACACAGACATACATACATTGTTGGGGGGAGTCGCATGCAGTTAGTAATGGGTTATTTAAACTCTATATCTTAAAGTTTTAACAACCCCCCAAATGTAATGATTACACTTTAGCAAAATTGCGTATGAAGATAGAAGGAGGACTTTAAGCAACAAAGCTCCACAATATTGTAACATAACCTCAAACCTCCAAGAAGGGGTCATTCTCCCTTGGGAATCAACCTTTCTGGGTTGTTCTCACTAGAATTCAGAACAGGTTCAGAGTTGCTGGCCTGGCTTCGTAGAAGAGGTGACAGTTGATCATTTAGCAAGCATTCAAGAAAGTTCCATGTAAACAACAAAACACCTGGTAAAAGAAGTGCCAGAAAATAACACATCTACATTAGCTAAACTTCAAGTCCATAAGAACATTTGGACTACAGTGAGAATTATGGTCTGATGGAAGTTCCATTTTCCTGATTCAATAACTTCATTCCTACTGTGGCCACTCGGGTATAAGGACACTCAGAAGTGCAAAGAGGTGATAGTTGATCAGGTTAAAGGCAGAGCTATAGGACAGACATTCAGTCAGAGATCATTTATCTAAACACAAAAACCCAAATCAAGAAGTGTATCCTCATTTTTCCTAAACAGTCTTATTTGCAGTCTTGAAATACAAGAGTATGAAAATACATTTAAAAGCAAGGTACTTCCAAATTCTGTTAATATATATCACCCCTCAGAGAAAATAAATAGGATTTGGCAAGGGATTAAGCTAGTCATAAAGGATGAAGAATGTTTTAATGTCTAAACTTGTCATAAGCACTAAGATGAGCTCCTTACCAAAAACTAATAATAAGAAACACTGAGTTTAAAATTGAGAATTTTAAATATGAAAAATTTAAAACTTTAACCCTAAGAATCGATTGTGCTGATATTACCCAGTCTCATTCATGGTGTGCTCATCAAATTGAAGCTACCCAAGACTTGAAGAAATTATCACAGAACAGAGAGCAAATAGTTTTCTTTTCATTGCATCTATTATCCTAATGTTGGATTGGTATAGCAGGATTTTTWAAATTATATTTTTTTTCTTTAAATGCCCCAAATTCCTAGGTAGAGACAACCAGGCATTTTTATAGTTTGATCTCAACATTTAAAACATTGTTTGGCTGAGGGAGTAACTGAGTGGCATAGCACGTGCTTAGCATGTGCAAGATCCTGGGTTTGATCCCTAGCACAACAAATAAAATAAGTACTATTTATAAAGAGTGAATCCTGAAAAACTGATGATATTAAAAGTACTATTGGGCTCTGGAGGGACTTCATCAACAACAGCCCTAAGACCCTTAGTATAAGCCAGTTGTTCAGAACTAGGGGTAAAATTTTTCCCCACAGGGCATCTGGCAATGTCACAGACATTTCTGGCTGCCACAACTTGGGGAGATGCTACTGTCATCAAATGAATAGAAGCCAGAGATGTTGCTAAACATCCTGTAATGCATAGGACATCCCCACACATCAGGAATTGTCCAGTTGAAAATATGGATAATGTCAAGATTGAAAAACATGTTTTATGGGCTGGGGAAGTGGCTCAAGTGGTAGCGTGCTTGCCTAGCATGYGTGAGGCACTGGGTTCGATTCTCAGCATCACATTAAAAATAAAATAAAATAAAGATATTGTGTCCACCTAAAACTTAAAAATAAATATTTTTTAAAAATCTGGTTTAAACAGAGCAAAAGCTTCGTATGTCAAAGAGAAGCTGCCTTCTGATCCAAAGTCTACCTAAGGGATTTTCCTTACATTCAAAATACGCATTCCCATTGAGTTTTAGAGTTCCAAATTTACCTCCACTAGAGTTTCTGCAAAGAATGACAAAAAAGTGTTAAGAGAGAGAAGTCTGGGAAGTCTGACTAAAGGACCACTTCACATCCTGCCTTGTGTAAGTTCTAAATTTCAATTTCAGGTTTTCCTCCTGACAAGTACCACTATTAATCCCTTAGAATTATATAAAATGGTGCCTTTCACACATGTTCTTCTCATAACCCATACTAAAAAAAAAAAATTGTTTTACATCCTAGTATGCACAGGCATTCATGAAGGCCTTAACTAAATAAAATCCTCAAATAATATCTCCCTGTTTTATTGACATTTTATCAAAAAGTTAGACAGTATTTTTTTCTGTCAACAATGAGACTAGTGGCCTTGTGAATATTCATAATGGCCAAATAGCATGAAAAAAAAAATCAGCCTCTATTTTCAAAAACAAAGTGGAAAGTTGGAAAATTGAGCAGTTTTAGCAGTTCTAGTGCTTTCTACAATGAAAGAGAGCTACAGAAAGTGCAAGAAGTATAAATAAATAGCCAGACTAGCATGCAGGACAAAATGGTTCTGACTTGACACACAAACTTTATAAAAAACATTTTCAGGGCCAGGGTTTAGCGCAGTGGCAGAAACTTTGCCTACCATGTGCAAGGCCTTTTGTTTGATACTCAGCACTGAAGGGGGTTGGGTGGGGGGAGGGGAATTAAGTGCTTAAAAAAAAAGGAGAGAATTTTCTGGAATGAACTTAAGCATACAAGAACACAAACTGAGTGGCAGTATTTCTCTAATCTAAAAAACTGTTGTTTTAAATCTACTGTTCATCAGATGTAGCTACCACCAAACAGCACTGATTCAGAGGGAAAAAGAAAACTCTTTCATTTCCTTGGGAGAATTCAAAAAGAGAACAACTGAAGGGAGAGTAGAACCCAAATTAAAGTACCATGCAGCAGGTGACAAATGCAACTTGCCTAACCCAATTTTTAAAAACTGCACTTATTCAGCTTGTTTGGATTTTATTAAATGCACTTAGCCAAACTATCTTTAAAAGGCATTATTTTTCACTGGCCCTCATCCATAATTTGGAATATTTATAAGTGTCAATCAAGATAGTTTTCTGAGGTAAGATTTAATTATGTTGGAATTAAGTGCTTTCTCCTTTCCAGAAAAATACCTTAGAGATTAGTTAAAGGTCATTGTTTAGAAACAAGCTGAAATGCATTCCTTTAGCTAGCTGCACAAAAACTGCAAAATTACAATTTTTCCTTTTTAATAAAGATAGAATGGTGTGAAATCAAATTAGACCTTCAAGTTTGGAAGTAAGAGACAGATTTCTTCTTTGGCTCCAGCTAAGGCATCTCAAGCAATATTTAGGTAGGAGAATTTGGTTCACATCTCACTATGGTGAGTTTCTTAGAGAATCCTCTGGTTTATGTGAGAGTACATGTCTCACTTTTGATACTAAAAATAGAAATGGTGTCTTAATATTTATCCCCCCCCTTGACTTATAAAGTGCATATAATCTAATCCAATAAACTTCTAGAGATGGACACATTTTTAGGAATTTTTCTATTTACCTGTTTACAGCCAATTTAAACTTAGCTAATAAACTTGCAAAGAATAAAGAATTTTCTATCTTACATCATGATCATAGCTGTATACTTACTAGCATTCAATTTTAGGACTAAGACCAAGAAATTTTTATTTTTTTGAGTCAGGGTCTCATTGTRTTGCCCAAACTGGCTTCAAACTCCCCTGGGCCCCAAATGATTCTCCTGCTCAACCTCCTGAGTAGCTGGGACTACAGGTGTACACCACCTTTCCTGACAAAGACAAATATTTTTAAAATGATGCCTGTGATAAAAAAGAAATGCAGATATTGTTTGTTATAATCCCAGCGCTTTTGATAAAGCCTGTGCAGATTCCAAACAGGACTCAAAGCTTACAACCTAGAAAAGGATAGTTTTCAGTCAGTCTTACAACCTATCAAAGAAAATGCTGGCTCTCTAGGGGACCTCCCATTTCACACACCTAGGAGACTATTTGGCTTAAATACTAATACCTAAACAATCTGTTAAATACACAAAAGATACTTCTCCACTACGAATGTAGTTCAGTTATGTGTCTAAATTAGATTATAATAAATTTATTTGAACTTGGTAATATGAGTCAGAGATCTAAAAGAAAATGCTAAGCTCTTTAAAACACATTAAAAGCAGCAGTTAAATTAACTCTCGTTTCTAAGACATCAACTTTTCCATCAAGTTGCTATTTGGCAACTGTAATAAATACTTTAAAACATGTCTAATTAAAAGAACAGCAGTATAGCTTATTTATTTGGCAGAAATAAGCACTCAATACCTCACATTCTCCTAGGTCAGGAATACTCATTTTCCCCTGGTAAATGTCACACAGATCAATGTGATCATATAAAAAGAGACTCTAAGGAAATTTTAACAAATAAGTAAATCATCATCAAGGCAATACATGATAGTAATCCCAACTGGACACTCTAAATGATAGCAAATAAGTACATAAGGAAATAAGAAATATTCCCACACTTCCAAGTGAAAAGAAGGTATTTAAACATTCAAAACATGCTATAACCAAAGATCAGTTCCCAGCAGAAARTAAACATTAGTTTTCTTTAGCCTAACAAACTGAAAAGATGGTCCAAAAAAATACATTTTTCTCCTTTCCCACTAGAATCCACCTCCTCTAATGCTTTGAGAACATTTTATACCTTAACAGGTATTTATTTTACATTTATCCAAGTTGAATCAAAGATACTTCTGCAGTACCAGAAATATCTAGTTTTCCTCTTTCATGATCTTCATGGTGGGAAAACATAGCTATCATGGTACATCAGTTTTTTTCTATGTACTTAGGCTATGAGCTCACCTGAGAGTCAGCAAAAAGTTCTGATCAGTTTGAAAACAAGGATTGGAGATCTATAGTTCAGTCGTACAGCTCTTGCCTAATATGTTCAAGGCCCTGGGATCTATCGCCAGCACCACATACACATACTCAAAGCAAGAACTACTTTGAAATCTGTGTCCACGGTCACTGAACCCCAGCCCTTCAATGTCCCTGACATATACTCTAGTGCAGTTTGCTTCAGAAAATATATGTTTAAACTGAAACTGTTGAAGAGCAGCAGTCGTTACCCAGGATGATGGAAAATGGTCATCAGTGACATGAAAATCAACAGACATGTTTCACTAAAATCCCAAACAGCCAACCCCCACTGAACACAGAGAGCACACACTGCAAGTTTGGTCAGAGCCCACAACCCACAAAGCTCTTTCCACAGGCCAGGTTGGCAATTCCAAAGTGCCTTGTCTAAATAGTCTGACTTTATGTGGGTACCAGGTTAAAAATGTGTACTGTTATCATGTTGGTCCTCCTGAGTTTTGTTAATAGCTTGTCTATGGTCACTGAGGCAGCCATCCAGAGACACTTCAATAGCCACTTCTGGTGTATCTCTTCTGCTACAATATGTCTCTAGAGGAGGAACGCCATTGTGCTCAGCACAGCCATTGACATGGGCCAGGGGCACTGACCCAGGGGGGCAGCACAGCTTGTTAGCACAGCTATTGGAAACACAGGGGTGGCTGCAGAGCAATAGTAAGTCCTTCTGCTCCAGGGATTCCTTCAAGTCCACATTTTCAAATTGGATGGTCACATTGTGGATTCCTGCGTTGTGGAAAATTTCTCGAATTTTTGTGCTGGCATCCTGATATCCCCTGTCCTTCTGATAYTTGATGTGCAGGGTGGCAATGATCTTTCCACTTATCAGTTCCCAGATGTGCACTTCATGCACACTGCTGATTCCAGGCACAGTAGAGAGTTTACTCACTAGAAGAGAGAAGAGCAAACAAAAGTCCTGGTGAGTGCTCTCACTGAAACACAGAACTATGAACATGGCTGCGGTTCCACAAGCGTGCTCACCAAAATGGCAATGCTTCTGCTGAGATTAACAGAAAAACCAGCTGTCCCTCTGTAAGTATGTTTCCCCAGAAGCCTCTCTTTCCTCTCTGAATTCCTATGTCACACATTGCTAGCCCATGAAAAGGAATTCAAGAAAAGAAGTCTAACAACGGAAAAGTATGTCAGCCAGGCACATTGGTGCACACCTGTGATCCCAATGACTCAGAAAGCTGAGGCAGGAGGATCACAAGTTCAAGGTCAGCCTCAGCAATTTAGCAAGATCCTGTCTCAAAATAAAAAGGGCTAGGGATGAAGCTCAGTGGTAAAGAACCACTTGGTTCAATCTCCAGTACCAGAAAGAAAAAGTCCAGGACTAATGAGTACACAAGGGAATGGACACTCTAATGGGCTTTCCAGGAGAGCATAAAGTGGAATTTCTTTTTTAAAGAAGTATAATTTAGCAATATGAACCAAAAACGTTTACCAGCAATTCTAGTTTCAAGATATTTAACCCAAAGGAAATACCAAATATTTTTATTATGTACAAGAATGGTTTGGGCAATGCTTTTTGTATTAATAAAAAAATAGGAAATAGTTAACCCAATTATACTATAGAAGATGATATACCTGTTAAAAGCAATTGCATATTTAAGCACATAAAAAATGTACATAGGTATTTTTAAGTAAAAGAGCAAACAGCTAAACTATATATATGGCATGATGTTTTTWAAAAAGTTTGTATACAGTGTATATAGAAAAAAAAATACTAAGGGTGACAGTTTCCATGATCAAATTATATGGGGTTTCTTTATGCTATTTAGGTTTTTGTGTATTTTTCATATTTTCTAAAATTAGTGTGTATTTAGAGAGATGATATGGAACAATGTTTAAGAGAAAAAGACTCTGAAGCCAACTAGAGTTGGAATCCTAGTATAGTCTCTGACAACCTACATGACCTTAAGCAACTGACCTAGCCCCTCTGTGCCTCATTTTCCTGATATGTAAATTAGGAATGATAATAATGGTACCACATAGGATTATTTTAAGGATTGGAAGGAATCAACGTTAAGTAAAGCTCTTAGAACAGTACCTAGCATGTAATAGGTTTATAAGTATTGCTGTTGTTATTATCTTTCAAATATATTTTAAAATACATAGATGATCTTACTTAAAGGCATAGCCAGTATACTATCACAGACTTTCAGATATATATATATTTATCTTGTTTTCTTAACTGAGAAACAAGCTAGATCCTGGGGGAAGGCAAAAGCATGAATGCCTGCTCATCTATGTCTCCCTTCCATTCGCACCACTGCGTCTGCCTGCAGCATTGGGCAAATAGTAGGTGCTCTGATTCAAATTTTAAAGCAGCCAAAGAATTAACCATACCTCACTGGCTTTTTAGAGACAACATTGCCAGAGAAAAGGCCAAAAAAGACAAATAGAACATCCAGGAAAAAAAGAGCACAGGAGGAGTCTCAGCTATTGGCAGTGGCTCCACAGATTGGCACCGAYGCATGCTAAGAGAACGCAGCACTGGCAGGGCGGTAGCCCTCAAAGAACAGCCAGCTGCAGCTGGGGGTGTGGCCCCGTAGTAGATCATGTGCTTAGGATGTGTGAGGCCCTACGATCAAGCCCTAGAATATAAAAGAGGGTCTAGAGATGTAGCTCAGTGACAGAGCACTTGCCTAGCATGTACAAGGTCCTGGGTTCAATCTCTAGCACTGCAAAAAAAAAAAAAAAAAGCCCACTGAAAATCACTCCTCCATTAGGGGACAGTCCAACCACAGCTATCCAATGTATTTTATATTCATTTAATTGAATTTCATGTATATGTCATGAAATAAAGTCTTCCAGTTTCTATTTCAAATTTACTGCTCACTGATAAAGCCATGACAAATAAATAACACACACAAAATAGTTTTGTTCTATGAGAATGTAATCGCCATTTAGAAATAAAGTCATATATTCAGTTTCCCACCAACATCTTAATAGTTCATATTTTGAAATTGAAATTCTACAAAAATCTGTCAAGTTTTTACCCCAGAGGCACTAAAGTGAGAGTCTGACTTCTATTTGAGGAAAGGAGAGGTAGATTTCATTAATGGCTGAAGGAAAGCTCTGAATTTAAAATGCTGTCTTTTTAATCTAATGAAAGACATCCATAGAAGTCAATTAACTAGAGAGCAGGATCTAGAATATGAATGATTTGTGTTTTCAGAAAATAAAAAAGCAGAAGTGGCCTTGAATTAAAATAAATCTTTGAAGTAAATGTAAATAGCCCAGAGTAGGTGCTACCCAAGTGCTATGTTATCAGAATTTTTGCAGCTGAATCAGAGAATCATGGCTTACAAAGGACCTTTGGATCTTGGAGCTGTGAATCATCTTGCTAGGCTGCCAACCACATGAGGGACATCTCTATTGCATGGTGATTTCACGTATTTCAGAATACATAACCAAACACTGCTCTGCCATAATGCTGGCCCTTTGGTCTGAAATGACATTCAGCTGACACTGGTTCTAGATCAGAATCCAGTCTACTTACTCAGCTCTTCCATGTTGACTCCCTTGGGGACCATCTGCAGGAGAATGACAGCAGTCTCCTTGATGAGTGGGAAGGCAGATGACAAAATAATGATGACCATGACAACAGTTAGGCTGGGATCGATGTAGCACTGCCAGTTACACGGGTCCTCATTTTTCAGGGGCAGCACATAGAATATAATGGCTGTGATGACCACAATCACGGACCCCAGGGCATCTCCCATCACATGCAAAAGAACACCTGACAAGAAGAAAGAGAAACCAATGAAACAGATGGAAGTTTGGCAGCCCGAGCTGTGTCACCCTTGGATTTTCAAATATATGAATATCCATTGCTATTTGCTTTGGTTTTTTTTGTCTGAACAGCAGAATGAATCATAATCAAAAACAATAGCAACTGATTTTCCTTTTTTAAAATTAAATTATTTATTTATTCTAATGTGTTATTCATGGTGGTAGAATGCATTCGTTTCTATATTACATATATAGAGCACAATTTTTCAAGTCATTGATTGTACACAAAGTATTTTCAGACCGTTCATGTCTTCATACGCATACTTAGGGTAATGATGTCTAACTCATTCCACCATCATTCCTACCCTCTTTCTCCCYTCCATCCCCTCCCTCCCCTTTCCCCTATCTAAAGTTCCTCCATTCCTCCCAGGCTCCCCGCCCCATTATGAGTCAGCATCTTCATATCAAAGAAAACATTCAGCCTCTGGTTTGGGGGGATTGGCTTGCTTCAGTTAGTATTATATTCTCCAACTCTATCCATTCACCTGCCATGATTTTATTCTCTTTTAATGCTGACTAATATTCCATTGTGTATATATACCACAGTTTCCCTATCCATTCATCTACTGAAGGGCATCTGGCTTGGTCCCACAATTTAGCTATTGTGAATTATGCTAGCAACTGATTTCCTGAAAAGAAAAACCCCCGGCCACCATCCCAGGGCCCAGAGATCCACTGAAGAGGAACTGCCTGGGAGAATCTGGGCTGGCTGTCACCTGCAGGAAGAGTGACTGTGCCATCTCAGAGCTTCACCTCACTACCACCCACCTTCAAAGGGCACCAGGCCAGAAAACAGAGGCTGTGTAAATTTCTTGTTCTTTCAGACAAGCATCCATACTTCAAATTATTTAAAGCATTTTTAAAAGGAGACAGAATTAAGCTATGTCAAAAGTTATGTCCTTTGTCTTCCTTCTGCCATGATCCATTCTCCCCCTTCCCTGTAAGCCTACTTCTCACTTAACCTCACTTAGTCATGTCAATCGCATTTGCTATATAAACAGTTCTCAAGAACAGGGGCTCCAGCAAAATGTCCACCACATAAAGAGCCACTTGTCACAATCAAAAAATGAATCCATGGGGCTGGGGATGTGGCTCAAGCGGTAGCACGCTCGCCTGGCATGTGTGCGGCCCGGGTTCCATCCTCAGCACCACATACCAACAAAGATGTTGTGTCCGCCGAGAACTAAAAAATAAATATTAAAAATTCTCTCTCTCTCATTCTCTCTCCTCTCTCACTCTCTCTTTAAAAACAAACAAAAAGAAAAATTGAATCCAAATCAAATTAAAATTCCACAGATAATAATAAAAATCATGCATATCTTGGATTAAGAGAACTGTTTCTAAATGCATCAATTATTATATAGAAAATAAGCAACTATCAACAAAGAAGATCCAGCTGCCCAACTGATTGTTAAACATCAACTTACCTGACATTTAGTAAATTCAGCAAAAATCTGGTAAGATGGGTAATGAAATATAAACACAAAGCATTTGTGTTACAGAAAGTAATGTCTTGCTATTCCAAGCCAGCAGCAATGCAGCTCAGGAGAGCTTGTTAGAGATGCAGGGTCTCACATACCCTCCTAGAAGCAGCTGGAAATAATCTAAAAATGGTTCACAGTTCGATTGACCCAGAAGCCTCCAAAAAATCATGCAAATCAAGAGGTTCAAAAATTCATGCTCATTTTAATAATCACCTGAGAAACTGCCCAGGCCATTAAGGATGATATGCATATCCAAAAAGCCACTTTGTGTCCAAAAGATGTTACTTTAGAGAAGTAATATGTGAAYGGTGGAGTTGGTAGGTGTGCCTGGGCCAAGCAGTAGGGCTGGACACTGGGTTGGTGGCCCAAAAACAGCGCTGAATTTTTGCTGCATATGCTTAAATATTGCAGAGAGTAATGCTGAACTTCAGGGTTTAGATGCAGAGTCTATGGCCATGGAACACACCCAATGAACAAAACACCCAGCTGTACCACCTCTCAGAGCTCACAGTCAGATTCACCTGAGCTCCCCTGCTACACTAAAATGAAAAAGAACAAACTGTTCCTAA